TCTTTCCTTCCTTCTCTGTACTCTCTCTCTCTCTTTCCTTCCTTCTTTACTCCTTCTGCAGCCCAACTCTAGTGAGAAGGGGTTTAAACTTTAAACCCATTCTTTCTTTGCTCCCCCCCCCCCGGCTGGGGAAGGGAAGGGGAGGCTTTTGAAGATACCTTCCTCCCCCTTTTACTTCCCCTTCTGACATCACTTCCGGTGATGGTAGGGGGCATTACATATGCTAATGAGATGTTATGCTAATAGCCTAGTAGCTCATTAGCATACCGTATGCTAATGAGCTCCTGCAGCTCTTTTTCTATGAAAAGATCTCTGGCTAGCACCATCTTAACGACTGGCCCCAGCCTCACTGTCTTCAATTTTAGCCTCGTGCTTGCCCCAGCCTCCCGCCCTCTAGGTAGTGTAGGCTTTAGACTGGTAACCCCTTTTGATAGGGGGGTCGGGTAGGAATTTTTTTACCTCTGATCCGATTGGCTATGGATGGGGGGTGTTTTTGGCCTACCCTGCACTGCTGTCAGTGGATTGAGGAATTGACTTGGGTGGAGCCAGTGGTTAGGTACATCACTTTATGGTAGGGCTGAGTTGTCTAGAAAAATTATGTTGTGGCTCCGGAAGGACCCAACAGCAACCCTGCTGGGTGGAGGGGTATGTCAGGATCATCACTGTGGTCTTGTGGCCAGGGATGAGATGGACAGACTGCCTTTGATGGATACTCTACACAGTGCCTTTGATGGATCCTCTACACAGGCGGTGTGCTGTGGATGAGGGATCGTCATGGCATATTCCAGGCCTGGGCTGCCTGGGTTCGAGCCACTTACAGTGGGCTATGTCTCAGGGGCCTGGTGCATTGCCAGTCTTATAGCAAGGGTGGGGTTTGAGTTTGAGTGACCCCAGGCCTTGGCCATGCCGCTTCATACTGTTAGCCCTTGCCTTTGTTGTTAATAAATAAAGTGGCCTTTAGTTTCTCAACTACCGCTGTCTGACTCTTTCTTCCGTATATGGGGGCAATGTTTGGCTGGGTGTGCGGTCCCTCAAAGGCTTAGCCACGTTCCATTGGCCATGTCCTCTGAGTCCCGCCTCCGACGCAGCATAGTTAAATTGTGCCAATTCCAATTGCTATTTGAGGCCAAGGCCAAAACCATCAGCACCATTATAATTAGGAGTGCATGCCCAGTGATTACAATTTTTTTTGTTTTGTTTTTTTGCTGGACAAGAAATTTCCAGGGCCCCCTAAAAATAAATAAATCACAGCATATAACCCCCCCACAATTTATCAGGGTTTTGATGCCTAGACACAGGGTGCTATGCAAGTCTTCTTCACTATCATTTCTAATGTATATTTATACATAAAGGAGTTTCCCACTCATCCTGATCTGGATGGCCCAGACTGCCCCAAATCTCATCAGATCTCAGAAGCTAAGTGGGATCAGCCCTGGTTAGTCCTTGGATTGCAGACTACCAAGAAATTTCAAGATTGCTCTGCAGAAGCAAGCAATTGTAAACCACCTCTGTTTGTCTTTTCCTATGAAACCCCTGTGGGGGTCCATAAACTGGCTGTGATTTGAAGGCATTTTCTAGCACCATCATTTCCCCACTGGTTTCCCCATATATATATTAACAAAAACAATGAAGTGCATGATCTGAGTAAGAGTTGGATCCAATCAGAGTTTCTGTTGGTGAAAAGTAAGGAGGCATCATCTTTGATCACACATAAAGGCTATGTTGGGAATTATGGTACATGCATGGACAGATGTCGTGACTGTAGCATAAAGGCAACTGAGTGAAAAAGGTAGCTGGGGGATATCCAGTACGACACAATGACGGGTGGGTGTTCGGCTTGCTCCGATCCTCCCGACCCTCTTTCGGTCTTTTTTGAGCCTCCCAATGTTGGAGGAGCTCGACCTGCACTCCCGGAGAGAGTGTAGGAGAAGGGGGCTTTTTTCCTGGCCCCTCCCATAACTTGGCAATGCGGGGGGTGACCAGAACTGCCCCAAAGCGGGAGCGAGAGATGGGAAAAGAACATGGCCACCATGTTCTTTAAACTTTTATTGTTGTTGTTGTAGTAAGGATTCATCGCATTGAAAAGTCTATTTTGCGCACATATTGGTTGAGTCGAAAGGATTATTATACCCCTTGTGGATATTCCCCTTTGCATGGAAGAAGCGGCCGTAACAAACCTGTTTGGGAACTGAGACATAACCTTGTCTGGAGAGTGATGAACTTAATGGGGTAAGAGACATTATTTTTTTTTTTGCTGAAACTACCATTACCCTTTGTGAATTACATTTATGAGCTTTGGAATATATCTGAATCTGCTTAAGTGGAAAGCATGTGGGAGTGTTGGAGTAAAGAAATGGAGGTGGTGGAAGTGAATGAGGAAATAGATGGTGATACTAAACTTTGTGAGCTCACGTGGGAACAATTTCAAAAAATCCTAATAGAAGAAGTAAAGCAAGCCTGACTTCCGGTCTGGCTCCCGCGAATGGCGGACGCATCCTCGGGTCGCTCCCGAGGGCGCCTCGCCCGCCCGCGGTGGAGGAGGGAATCCGCGCGAGTGGAGACCCGAACGAGCCCCTCAGGAAGAGAGGAGCTCGGATCCGGGGCGCTTTAGGGCGCACTAGGGGGGAGTCGCTCTTTCGGCCGAGAGGTCGGAGAACGAGGCTCCCGCCATGCCCTGCCCCAATGGACCTTGCTGCGTGAGCGACCCCGAACGGGGTTTAGCAGAGCCACCAGACGTCACCGAGTGATAAAGCGACCATCCGCAAAAATGGAAAAAGAAAAGATCGGCTTAACTGTGAGTTGTCAAAAA